GAAAGGTAATGTGAAGGAGAAAGAGGGTGGAGTGTGATAAATCGTAAGCAGCCATTGATAGGAGGGATGAAAAAGCTGTAATGCCAAAGAGCGCGTATTGGCCGTTCCCAGAAGTCTGGTCCAGTGAATTTGACTGTCGTCAGAACCAAGAAACTGCTGAGGTGAGACAGAAAGCTCAAACAATGAGAGACACACATTAAAATGTATTTATGACGAAATATCACGGGGCGTTTCCCGTCCCAGACAGGTTATCGGTTCACAGCTATTTATTTCCAGATTGGAAACCTGTTGGCTCGGGGACAGAAAGATACGTAGGCTAATACGCCAACTAAAAAGGGTGTCAACCCTTTGAACGTGATGTTTACCTAAATATTTTAAAAATACAGTCCGTACCTCAACTAAAACACGAAGATCGCTGTTTGCTCGGAGAATCATACAAAATCCACGAATACTCTCAGCGGACAAAGTGCGAAATTATAGAATGTTTAAAGTGGGTGTTGCATTAATACTTAAAACACGAGTGGAAAGAAATAAAGAATTACCATGAACACGGGCGTTCTTTACAGGCTCTTAAAAAATAGCCACGTTTACACTGTGCCCACATTTCTAGGAAAGTAAAGAAAACATGCCAATATATCACGTGCATGTATCGGCCCTTCTTGAACCGACAGATTATCATCAAAGTCGGTACGGACACCAAGTCATGGGACGCTTTCCAACCTTCGAACATTTAATTTCTCTACCAGCAAAAATACCAGAATAAGGTCACAGGATTTGCTTTAGTGCATGTGACCAATTAGTAAATAAAGATATTAAAATTCTGTGAGATAAAAGATCTTAAAAATTACAGCTCGGATAAAAGCAACTTTTGTAGAATATAAAATACATTACTACCGCAATTCATTACAGTGCTGAAATACTAAAATTTACGAATAAATGTAACCTGAAATACGACATTAATATCGTGGCACGTTATGGACATATGTACTGGTTAGTACTTAAGCCAAACGCCCTTCCAAATGACAGAATCAAGATGGCGCACCCATACAAGTACACGCTTTAATTTAATGTGTCTCGATTTCTTGACACACGCGAACAACAAAGGAACCAACAAATCAAGAGGTCTATGTTTCGGGCACGGCCTCTACATTGCGTTCGACAAGACTTCCCTCCTTGCGGGCGGTCAGCTGCATCACTTACTGGACACTCCGCCCCACAGTCATCCGTCTTCATCCTTCACCCACACCTCACGCACGCGGAGGGCATATTTTTATTACGCCGTTATTTCCAACTGTCCACAATTTACCATTTCTATTTAATCAGCAAACAAATAAAATTAAGTACTTTTACACACGCCGCTTGAAGTCTGGGACTGTGGGCTCGTATCTCTGTCGACGAAAGAATGTCTCCCCTGAGCTTCTGAGTTGTTTTCTTAGGGTCTTATTCCCACCTCCCACCCCCAGACGAGAAGCCCAACAGCTTGTATTAAAGATTCATAACATCCTCCACAACCTCGATCAAAGCCTCGGACAGACGGACCTAACAGCGGACCGAATGGAAGAGGATAATTGAGGAGGCCATGGACCGGAAGAAGAAGAAGACGAAGGAGGAGGAGGAGGAGGAGGAGGAGAAGATGGAGGAGGAGGAGAAGGAGGAGGAGAAGGAGGAGGAGGAGAAGGAGGAGGAGGAAGAGAAGGAGGAGGAGAAGAAGAATGTAAGACAGGATGATCAAAGTAATAATATGCATTTCTACAACTATGCCAAGCATATAACAACGACTACAACCCAAAGAAATGTCACGTTACAAACTGTGAGAATTCTGTGCGTGTTACAAATTGGATTGCTATGGCCAACAGAGGGAGGAGGGAAAAGCCAATTATTGCACCCCAGATACGAGAGACTACCCAGACTTGTCTCATCAAAACTGAATCTCCCCCCTGCCTCATGCGTAATGCACTGGGTCTCTTCCTTACCACGATGAAGGAGGCAGCGGAAACCTTGCAGTGCAGAATACAACTAGAGTCTGATCGCTGATGGGAGCGCGCGACAAAGAATCAGATTTGTTACCCAGCAGCCCTGATGACGAGAGCAGAGACTGTTCTCGAAACGTTGGCATAAGACGTGGCTTATTCACCGTTCAGCCACCTGACGCGGCTTGTAACCAGAGAATCTTTCGTCAAATAAAACGTAATTACCAAATATTAAAAATGAATTGATAAAATAATCCAGAGAAACATGACATACACACAAAATGCGTGTTTCCAACACCTCTTGGAAAACATCCAGCTGAAAGACCAGAAACATATCTGCAAGGATGTTGAGGAAATAGGAATGGCAGGCGTTTAAACCATTCACTTTCCAAGACTTAGCCCGAGAATAACATACAAAATCAGGTGGTACACTGACCACTGATTTAAAAATTTAAGAATGCTGTTTCAACTGCTGTGGTTATAGAATCAAATGAAATGACAAGACAATCGTAATGATGAGTAGGTAAGATTTTCAGTTCATTTAACAATGATCTTTCAACTGCAGAGGTTACATACCCTTTCCTGCTTGGTGACTGGGTAAGGATTAATGAGGTGGCAGTACCCTTTTTCAATTGAAAACCAAGAATTTGCATAGAGAGGCTGAAAAAGGCCACTAGAAAACACGGACGTAACAGCCAGCCCCTAGGCCTCGATTCAAAACCGGTAACCGCTAACCCTTACAGTGGGTACTCAGTTTTGTGAATCTAAATGCTCGTGTGAGTTTAAGCCGTTTGTACAAAACGACTTCCAGAAGACTAACTAAGAAAATCTCAGCTCTAAGAAAATAGCCGAGAGGTGGCTGAGTTGAGCATAAACATTCCATGGAATGCAATGCTCTAATATTAGACTTCTTGTCGGAACACGTGGCAGTGTCTGTCTTCTCTCTCACTTGTGGTACAACGCAAACTATACCATGTACGAAGATTTCTGTCTTCTGGGTTGTTGCGCTGTGTAGTCTGGTCGATGTTAACCAACGTTTCAGAGGTCATACTGCCTC